GGGGAGCCTGCAAAGCAACACAGGGGGGGGGGGGGGTTCGTCAAGCTGGGCTCTTTCCACTTTCGACCTGCTTCGATGGCAGTCCGATTTGCAACATGCGACACCTGACTTCGTGGCACCGCTGGCAAATGCCAAAACCCGACAACCTTCATACCCTTAAGGCCTACGCCCCATATGCCATAAACCCTAAAGGTCTAAACTGCCCCAACCCTACTCAAGCTCGTTGCACCCCACAGCCCCAACCACGACACCTGAAGCCCTGAATCAGCATCCGGCAGGAGCTGCGCCAGCGTGGTATCGAACCCTCGGTCGGCAAGCCAAGTGATCCATCGACCGTTTGCATTGTTCGCCGTTAGACAGTGGTGTCGGTTTCGTGTTGCATGGTTTCAGGGTTTTTAGTTTTTGCGTTTCGGCTTTCAGAGTTTAGTGCTTCAGGGTGTTAGGGATTGGGAGTTTTAGAGGACATAAGTTTACGGGTAGTCTTTTCCTATGAATGTTCAGCATTGTCGTGCAGATCTGCCCAAGCTTGAAAAATCCGTGAGTTTCATGAAGAAGGGATCCCAATGATATCGACCCTAAATAAAATGCAGGACCCCTGTTTGTAAACGAACTTTCAAGCCCCACAACCCCGTGAAACTCTTACGCAATTTCACCGACACCTTGTAAGAATCTGCAGAACATGAGACCCTTACACAGTATTACATCATGACAGCCGCTAAATATGTCCAAAAAAGCCCGATCGACCCCTTAAGCAAATTCACTAACATACCCATGAACCCCCTTAAGCAACTTCATTGCGCAGTCTCCTCTTTTCTAGCCCTTAGCGCTAAACCCAAAGCCCTAAAGCCCTAAACCCTAACCCAAAGCCCTAAAGCCCTAAAGCCCTAAACCCTAAACCCTAAGCCCTAAACACGAAACCCTAAGCCCTAAACCCCAAGCCCTAAGCCCTAAGCCCCACCCGAGGCTGTGGCCTTCAATGCTCTCGTCTCGGCTCTCGCCCGCGGGCATCGAGTGGCTGGACATGGAGAAACTTGACCCGAAACCCCTATATTAGCCATCCTAAACCCTAAACCCGAAATCCCCTGAACCCTAAACCCTAAATCCCCTGAACCCTAAACCCTAAACCCTAAATCCCCTGAACCTTAAACCCTAAACCCGGAATCCCCTGAACCCTAAACCCTAAATCCCCTGAACCCTAAACCCTAAACCCTAAATCCCCTGAACCTTAAACCCTAAACCCTAAATCCCCTGAATCCTAAATCCTAAACCCCTAAGCCATCCTAAACAGTCCTGAGTGTAGCAGCATCTCCAAAAAGACTTTCTCAAGGGCGGCCTTTCACGAAACTCTAAGCCCCCAAACCTGAACCTTAAAGCCTCAAACCTGAACCCTAACCGTGACCCTTGTGTAACCCTTATAGCAAAACTTATCGGAACCTTTCTAGTAACCCTTAAAGGAGCCCTAACCCCAAACCCTTCACCAGAAAATGTTCCGAATGCTGAGGTGCAGCGCTCTGCCGCACTTCTCCGGGACCTCAGGTGCCAGCCTCAGAAAGCGTTCAGGGTTTACGTCTTGCAGGGTCTAGGGGCTGTAAGGGTTTTAAGGGTTAAGCCCTTAGAGCTTAAGGGGTTTTAGTTGTTTAGGGGTTTCAGGGTTTCAGGGTCTCGGGTAGGGATTTAGGGCTTAAGGGATCCAGGATCCGTGATTTGGGTTTCAAGGACCCTACCATTTCTACTAGCAAGGATCCTGGGTGTGGGGTTCCGGAAATTCGGATCCGATCATTGCTTCCTGCAAGTATCCTACTGGTAGTGTTCCTTATGATCAGGACCTTACTACTTAGGTTTCCATGCTGGGAGGGTCCGGTTGAAACGACCGAAGTAAGACACTTTCTGGAGGTCCTGATTATCAGGATGCTTGTGGTTGTTCTTTGAGTTCTGTGGATGAGGGCTTAGGGTTGAGGGTCTATAAGGTTTAAGGCATATAGGGTTCAAGGTTTATAGGGGGTTGAGAGTAGAGAGAGTTTAGGGCATCTAGGGCTTGTAGGGATAGCTGGGCATTGGGTTTCGAGTTTTAAAGTCTCGGCATCTAAGGGCTGATAAAAGCTTTGTGGTGAATATTGGGTTGCAAGGGTTTTAACTTTCAGGGTGCATCAGGTTTGGGGCTTGGGCAGTCTGTTTCAGGTGTCAGGTGTTTGGGTTCTAAAGTTGTCGAATTCGGGGTTTAGCGCTTTGTGGGTCTAAGGCTTGGAGTTTTGGGTTTGAGGCTTGGGGTTCAGGTGTTGGGGTTTGAGGTGGAGGGTCTTTTAAAATAATAACAGGCGGTTTCTCTGCTTCTGTTGCACAAGCTTGCGACGAAGGCTCCATACACTGCAGTAGAAGTCTCACGCTGCAGTGCTCCTGATTGTCGTAGACGCTATGCACCGAAACAAAACCAGCGTTTAAAGCAAGCTTCAACACATCTAGCGAACAGGACTCCGTTCCAGAGCTTGGATGCGATCATGGAAATGTCCGAACATTCTGCGAGTAGGACGCTGTGCAACGAAACACTCATTACACCTGGTTAAACATAGACATAGCCCAAGCCCCTCCACAGATCCCAAGCCTGTCTAAAGTCGAAACGCCAGGCCTGATACCCAGACCTCTCTTCAACGGGCATCTCTCCCAAACTCCCTGAAAGAGGCTTTGGACTTACGCTTTGGGGTTTGATGGGCTTATGCATGTGTGAGGGGCCACGGCTTCAAGCTTACGGATGTCGGAACCCCGGATGACCATATGACCATCACGAGTAGTTGGAAGTACAATTAGCCTTGACAAGGGCCCTACATAAGCTACGCCGGACCCTAGTATAGAACCCCCAACTAACAAGCACAAGCAAACCTTGAGCCCGAAACCCAAGCTGAAGCAGACTCCTAAACCCTAAACCCTAAACCCGTCCCCTTGAGGCGGGAGGAGCTGCACCTCGACTTGGAGGCCTACGGGGGAGCCATCACCGTGAAGAGCCCCAGGATTCCGAAGGACTTGGACTTCGGGTTTGGGGCCTAAATAAGTAGAATGAGGGTTGGGGTTACTTTAAAGGGGTCTATACAAGGGTTGCTATAAGGGCTGTTATAAGGATTTAGTATAATTAACGGGGTTTTGAGGGTTTCGGGGTTAGGGCTTAGGGTTTGGGGAAAAGTCTGTTGGGTTATAGGCACAGGGTTTATGTAAGGCTTATGGGATTTAGGGCGTAGGGTTTCCGAAGGACTTTTGGGGTTTCGGGCTTGGGCCTTAGAGGGTTCAGGGTTCTAGGGTGTATAAGCCCTCGGGGTTTTGGAGGGATTGACGGGCTTAGGGGGTTTAGAGGGTTTGGGGGTCGAAAAACCAAGGGTTTCGGTCGCTTCGCGTTTTGGGCACGGATTTCCATTGTCGGGTTCTACAAGGGTGCACATTCAGGGATGATTTGCTGCGGGGCTGATCTTTGACGCATTGTTTGTGTTTCAGGTCGAGGCTGTTTCGACAGGTTCTTCAGCTTCTGGCTTGGAGTCGTGTGTGTTTTCCAGGCTTTGCCTCGGGCCTAGACTTGGACCTCGGATTCTCCAGGGAGGGACGAGGGAAAATGCACTCTAATATCTCTAATTACACTTCTTTTGCACCTGTGCGCGACGACTCGGCCATTTCGCGCGGCCCGGCGCCGACCTGGGAAGTGCTCCTCGGATGCCGCAAACAGCAGCTTGCTTACGAATTATATGAGGCCTCGACACCTGCGATATGCCCGCCGAGTTGGCATTGTGTTCTACAGGCAGCTGTCGGCCATCGCCAGAAAGGCCAGAAAGGCGAGACCACGACTTCAAACTCCTGCATGAAGCTCCAGGCATAGTGCGATCCGTGGACAGTGGAAGAGACCTGACAACACTACTCATGGGTCTCATGACCGAAGTATTCAGTGATGAGACATTGAACATTGCAGTCGGAGTCCAATGGTGCGGGCCCAAAGTCACTATTTCAGGTTGAGAGCTTGCTTAGGAAAGATGGAGCAACCAAAGTGTAGCTTAGCTAGTGCTAAGGAGTCCTTTAACCCGAAACGGCCCTAAACCCTAAACCCCTAACCCTAAACTCTAGACGCCTAAAGTGATGTTTCAAGCTGACCGTTTCTGCGAGGTTCCCACACGCATAGGATGATAAGACTCAGCCTCGACGTCCGGCAACAGAAGCAGAAGCTCTGACCCCTAAACCCCAATCTCGAAGCCCCCAAGCCCTAGACCCTGAGCCCTAAACCCTATCCCCTTGTAGTGAGCCCTACTAGTTAAGGGTAATAGCCCGTATAGAGCAAACCCTTCTAGAAACCCCTTGGGGAGCCCTGAAAGGAACCCTTAAAGGAATCCTTCGAGAACCCTTAATTAAAGGAACTCTTACAGGAGCCCTTAAATGAACCCTTAAAAACTACCCTGAAAGAAAGCCTTAAAGGAATCCTTTAAGCGAACCCCAAACCCCAAACATCGAAACACCCAGAACCCTAAACCCCTAAAGCCCTAAACCCCTGAACCCCTGAACCCCTGAACCCCTGAACTCTAAACCCTAAACCTCGAAACCCCGAAGCCACCGAGGCCTGCGCGGACGGAGCCCTCTGGGCCGAAGCTCTCGGTTTCCTCAAGGTGGAAGCGAGTTTGGGGTTCAGGGCCTTGGGGTTGGGGGGGATTGCAGGTTTAGGGCTTCAGGTTTAGGAGCAAGTACTACTTCTTTGCATTTAGCTTGTATTCATCATCATGGCCCCTGACGCTTAGCCTGGCATCACCCGCCGGTTCTTTCTCAAAGGAAGCTTGATGGCTGTCTTGCCAACAGATCTTGAGCCGCAATCTTTTCCTTCGGATGTCAGGGTTGAGGGTCAATGTGTTCAGCGCTTTGTTGAGGCGGCTGTAGAAACTAGGCGCTGCAGTCGCTAAGGTCGCATCTTTGCACCCTTAAGACCAACATGGCTAGCCACCCTCTCCCTCCAACTCTAGGCCGTGAGCCTTCTATTCAGAGCCATGTCGCTGGCAATGCTGCAGTGCTCTGTCAACGGCAGCAAGCGCGAGTGCCGGCTGACCCCTTCGCTGTGGGAGTCTCTTGATCTCCTGCTTTCCTGAACCCTTATGTAAATCCAAAGATTAGAACACCTAGTGCCCAACAGCCGCAAACCCCAAAACCCTAAAGACTCTAAAGCCCCAATGCCTCGCAGCTGCAAAGCCCTAAATCCGAAACTTTGCTAGCTCCATGTGTCTCGGAACCACAGCAGTTAGGGGCTTCTAGAGTTCAGGGCTGCCGGGCTATAGTTAACGAGGACCTTTGGAGCGGGTTTCATGATCCAAAGTTGCAAAGACTCGTGCAAAACCCAACCCCAAACCAAGAGCCTAAAACCTAAACACCGAAGAGCCGCACGAAAGCTGAGGTTTGGAATCAGCAGCGTCGAGGGCTGGGAACTCACTGGCCAGGACGGCAAACTCACATCCAAGGCTTTCCGTAGCTCTACTTTCAGGATTTTATCAGGCTGGGGATTCTGTTATCGGTTTGTGCTCAAATCGCCTGGAAATGAGGAATATGTAAAGGCAGGCTAACGCGACCCAGAGCGCGACCTATCAACCCAGCAAAGTGCTATTCTATTCTTATAAGCTCACTTACTAAAATCCCTTAAAGGACCTGCACTAGCATGGGCATCCTTACTCAGCCCCAAACCCAATACGCCGGAAGGCCCTAAGCCCAACATCGCAAAACCTTCACTCCAATCCAGTCCTCAATCTCAATACCCCCAAGCCAAAGCCCTAACCCCCAAAGCACTAAAGCCCTAACACCCAAAACCCTAACGCCGGACACCCAAAAATCCTGCAGCACACCCCGTAGAACACAACAAACACAAATGCCTACTTCCTAAGCCCTAAACCCAATTCCCTTGAACCCTAAACCTTAAATCTTAGGACCTAAATCCAATTCCCTTATATAAACCCTAAACCTTAAGTTTTAGAGCCTAAATTCAATTCTCGTAAACCCTAAACTTTAAGTTTTAGGGCCTAAATCCAATTCTCTTAAACCCTAAACCTTAAGTTGTAGCACCTAAATCCAATTCTCTTAAACCCTAAACCTTAAGTTTTAGGACGTAAATCCAATTCTCTTGGACCCTAAACCTTAAGTTTTAGGACCTAAATCCATTTCTCTTAAACCCTAAACCTTAAGCTTGAAGCCCTAAATCCCATTCCCCTGGTGGGGAGAAGTGGGAAGAGGACGCTGTCACTCGAGTGCATGCAGCGAGAGCACTCAACTCCCTTGAGGGCGAAGGTTTCAAGGCCCCAGCGTGCCTTTCTTTAGGCTTCCTGGTTTTGGGTGTAGGGTTTAGGCTTCTGGGTTATGGGTATGGGGTATAGGGATTATGAGGTTATTTTTTATTCTTGTGTGTTTGTGCGTGTTCTGTGTTTGTGATGAACTTGCCGGGTGTGTGTCTTGTTGACTGTGTGTGCGCCTGTGTTTCTTCTGGTTTTTGTCGGGTGGTTGTCTTGATTTGGGTTTTTTTTGGATATTGTTGTTGATCTTGCCACTGAGTACGGCTTGTTTCGGTTTACGTGCTTGAGGGTTTTTGCGGATCGCACCCTTCACAGCGCCCTAGATTGACCCCAAACTGAGCAGAAAGATTCACAGTTTGGGGCTGCACGGGGTTATGTAAGGAATCGGTTGGGTTCCTCCCTCAACCTCGGAGGTGGTCCAGATGTCGGAGTCTTCTGAGGATGGCTCACAGCACCTGGGCTGGACGTGATGTCTGGCTTGTTTTGTTGTTTTTTTTTCACCTCTCTCTCTCTCTCTTTCTCTGTCTCTACTCTTCTTTCTCTCGCCCTCTCTCTCTCCACTCGCTCTCTCCCTCCCTCCTCCTCTCTCTCTCTCTCATTCTCGGTCTCGGTCTCGCATGAGTTTCTCTTTGGCCGAGCTTCGCACGCACGGCTCACTCTCTGCACTCTTGCGTCCGGCCTGGGGTCCTGTACTTGTATCTCTGGCGTTTTGGCGGGGTTGTATGCTTTTGTGCATCCTTCATAGTACGTAGCACCAGCATGCACGACAAGCAGTGTGTTTCATGCCAGCGATGACGGTAATTTCAATCGTAAGACTAACAAGGATAGTCGTACGTGGTAACGTGGAGAAAGGGCTCAGGACCCACTTCAAAGAGGACCTTAATTAAACAAAGGAAGATCAGACCTCACAGCCGAAACTCTAAAACGCGAAACTCTTGTTGCCACAGCATGGACCAGAAGTTCTTGAGCGCAACGGCCAACCCTAATCCCTAAATCATAAGTGAATCCTTTACCCTACACCCTAGACCCTGCACACTACACCCTGACGCCTAAGTATGAACCCCTAAGGCCCTAAACCCCTAGAACCCCTAAACCCCTCGAACCCCTAAATCCTAAACCCTACATCCTAAATCCTAAATCCTAACGCTACAAGCTCAGGAGACACACTTTCCTCCTCCGCGGCCCTTGCATGGCAGACTCTGAGCATCCGGCTTACAAGGCCTGGACTTTCGGTTTGGGGTTTAAGGTTGAGGTTTAGGGGTTTACGGCTTCGGGTTTGGGGGCTTAGGGTTTTTGTTCGGGTTTAGGGTTTTAGGGTTGAGAAGTTTAGTAGGGGTGTTTCGGGTTCAGGGGTTTGGGGTTGAGAGGTTCAGGGGTTTGGTGTTAGGTTTGTTTTTGAGGTTTAGCATTTAGGGTTTAGGGGTTTAGGGTTTAGGACTTAGGAGTTTAGAGGTGTCGGGTTTAGGGTTTCGGGGTTTGTTAGTAGGACCTTTAGGGCCTATAGGTCTATTTGGAGATAGCCTTTTGGTACTATTGTATGTGCATTAATGGAGATTCGAAAATTTGGAGTTTCAAACATTCAGAAATGCAAAATTCAATAAATCCAATGTTTCCCTTTTGAAGTAATAGAAACTCAATAATTTTGAATTGTTGAATTTTTGAACCCACAAATTTGGAATTCCAAGGTCCACGCAAACTTCAAGGTTTCAGAAATGTTGAATTTATTGAAATCTTGAACTTTTGAGTTCACTGATATTTCAAGATATCAAAAATTCAAGCTCTTTCCATTTTTAAGTTGATAGACACTCAAAACGATTGGATTATTGAATTTTTCAATTGGAATTCGAAGATCCACGGAAATTTCAGCATTTTAGAAAAATTTTCAATATTTGTTAAATTTTGAATTTCCGACATGACAAGCTCAAGATTTCAACAGCTTCTATATTCAAGAATATTGAAATTTCCGCGGACCTTGGGATTGAAAATTTGGAGTTCAAAAGTTAAGCAACTCAAAATCTTTGGACCTCTAGTAAGTAGAAAAGGAAAAATCAGGAATTCTTGAATTAGTTTTGATTGTTTATCAATTTAAAAAGGAAAACAATCTTTAGTTCTTGAATTACGAATTCAAGAAGTTAAGATTTTTGAGTTTCTATTACTTCAGAAAGGAAACAGCTTCAATTCTGGAAGTCTTGAGGTTGAATTCAATAATTCAATATTGCAAGAATTGCAGCATTTCAAAGCTAGTGAAATTTCCGTAGACCTTGGAATTCTTGATTTGGAAAGTTCAATAATTCAAAGTTATCGAATTTCTATCAATTTCAGAAAAGAAAAATTCTCGAATATATTCATCCCACAGTTCAAAAATCCCCAAACGGTAGAAAACTGAGTTCTTGAATTCTAATTCAATGTTAACTTTTTTTGTCTATTTCTACTAACTTGAGGAAAAAATGAATTCTGAAAATGATGATGATTGAATTCAAGAATTCATTTTTGTTGAACTTCTATTATCTCTATAATTTTTGGAAATTGAAAACCCTGCGGGTCTCTGCTGCTCTTTGGGGCCTTCATTTTTCGGCCTTCTGATAGAAGTTCTAAAATCCACAAGTTTCTCTTTTGAACATTCTAAGAATAAAAGGCCTTTGGGGCGCCGTGATTTTTCAGAAGTTGTGAGAATTCTAACAACCCTGAAAAAATCAAATGTGACCTTAATTTCCTAGAGTCGGTGGATGTACGCAGACGGTGAAGCAAGGGCTGCTCTTTGCATCTCACGCATGGGCTATTGGGCCAACGTGGCTACAGGAGAAACCACATGGGCTGAGCCGGAGACACGTTGATCGCGTAGTGATCAGAGCAGCATCCGAGGCGTAACGGTTCTTTCGAAGGAGGACACTCCCGGCAAGCTCTACCATCGTACCAACGAGTGTGGTATGCATGGGATCCTCCGTGATGGAATGATACTTGGATCAGCACGTTCCAATCGTGCTCACAACTACCTTTCCCCGTATCGCCTGAACGACACGCAATACAAAAGCGGTATGCGCGCAAATCAGCCTATTGAGCTTGTGGTGGACACCCTCCGCGCCATCAACGCCGGTTGCACCTTCTTTGTGACCGAGACGGACGGTGTGCTCTCCCGTCTCGACTTCTCATTCATCATGTCATTCATCATCACGTCATCCATCATCATCATCATCAGGAGCAGAATCGTGATTTTGTCCTTGCTTAGGCATGCTGCCGTGGAGCAAGATATCACGATTTCTTTATGCATCTGTCGCTCGCTCGCTGACTTGCGAATAGTGTGGATTAGTGCCGTGACGGACGCAGCAAGACTCAGGCGCTAGGCCTGGTATGTTCTCAGTCCTTACACTAACATCTGCAGACGTTGTAATTTGGGATACGGCGTTTATCCCAGTGCTGAGAAAGGAAACCTTCTGAGTCTTGTTCAATCTTAGGGCTGAGTCGTTGTCGCGCGAGCTGGGTGTTGAAAGCTATACATGATTCAGCCAGGCTGTGGAAGCCTCAAATTTTAGTAATTATGCAACGTTGGGATCCTTGTTTTCCAGAACGCTAAACGGTCCCTTTTCTCGGTGGGCTTTGCGGGTTGGCGGCTAGCGGTCGCGATGAGCCCCCCATCTAAGAACAGCACCCGATCCGGGCTGCGGCCGAAAAGAGTACGGGCTGGGAGGGATGCCACAGATATGCGAAGTCAAAATAGAGATAGGACGAACAAGTGCATGCGTAGCCAGTGCCCGGTTCCGATAGCGCGCGTGCCAGATTAGACATCCCAATAGGCAAACAGACAACAAACCCGTATGCCCTAATACACTCTGGTTCGGTACATGATCATCACCAGTTGCTTCATTGCTTGCTGAGCAAACACTATCCCAAAATGAACCCTAACGGTCCTTGCCACTTATAGGGTTCAGGGTTTAAGGGTTCAGGGGCTTAGGGCTTTGTGCCTGGAGGTTCAGCATATAGCTTTTCAACGTTTTGCGTCAGGAGCAGATCAAGGCTTGGTGTGGCTTTGTGCCGAGGCTCTACACCCTAAACGCCGCAACTTTAGTGGAAAGACGCCTTCAAACAAAAACAAAGAACCAAGCTGTAAACTTGAACCAGCAACCTTAAGCCACGTGCTGAATCAGCTTGTCATTGCCGAGTGTGGCTAGCAGGGCATCCGAGCCCATGTGAAATTGCGAAAGGGTTCTACGAAGGCGTCTCGCTGTCCAAATCGTCACCCACCGTGTTCTCCGAAGGAGAAGTCGTAGTCGTAGCAATGGCAGTAGCAGTCGCAGTGGCAGTCGCAGTGGCAGTCGTAGTAGCAGCAGCAGCAGCAGCAGCAGCAGCGGTAGCGGTAGCGTTAGCGGTAGCAGCAGCAGCAGCAGCAGCAGCAGGAGCAGCAGGAGCAGCAGGAGCAGCAGGAGCAGCAGGAGCAGCAGGAGCAGCAGGAGCAGTAGCAGTAGCAGGAGCAGTAGCAGTAGCAGTAGCAGCAGCAGCAGGAGGAGCAGTAGCAGTAGTAGTAGTAGTAGTAGTAGTACTAGCAGTGCTAGCAGTATGATGATATTGTGTATAACTGTGATGATGATGTTCGTGAATATGATGATTTCGAGTGGTACTGTTATGATGATGCTGGTGATGAGTATGATGATTATTAGTGTTATGGTGACGATGATGATGAGTACGATTGTCTTGAGTGGTACTGTTATGATGATGATGTTGGTGAGTACGGTGATCTTGAGTGCTACTGTTATGATCATGTTGATGAGTATGATGATGTTGTTGAACATGCTCGCGATTAGCCCCCCCCCACCCCAGGTAAATGATGATGTTGATGAGTATGATGATGTTGATGAACATGCTCGCGACTAGCAAACCCCCCCCCCCCCCGCCCACCCCCAGGTCACCCACGTTTGCGCGGCAAAGGAAATATTGTAAATACCAGCACATTCAAGCCCGCAAACAAAGTCGTGCAAGTCCTAAAGACAGGTGTCCTGACTGTGCTTTACGTCGTTAAGGCGCTCGGGTCTGCATGGTCCTTGTTTAAAGAGATAAAGACGTATAAACACGGAAGTACTGTAAATACCAACACATCCAGGCCCTCAAACAGGGGTCATGGAAGTCCTAAAAACAGGAAAAACATGGCGTCAAATAAGGCCAAATCCCGTAATAGTAGTAGTAGTAGTAGTAGTAGTAGTAGTAGTAGTAGTAGTAGTAGTAGTAGTAGTAGTCGTAGTCGTAGTCGTAGTCATAGTCGTAGCAGTAGCAGTAGTAGTAGTAGTAGTAGTAGTAGTAGTAGTAGTAGTAGTAGTAGTAGTCGTAGTAGTCGTAGTAGTAGTAGTAGTAGTAGTAGTCGTAGTAGTAGTAGTCGTAGTAGTAGTCGTAGTAGTAGTCGTAGTAGTAGTCGCAGTAGTAGTCGACGTGGTAGTAGTAGCGGTAGTTATGGTTGTTGGAACCAAAATAGAAGCTTGATAGAGTTTTCAAAGATCTTTCCTTACCCCCTGAGGCAGTACTGGAGAAGCATATGCAGCCTCCCAGCGGCTCTCCGAGGCATGCCAGGGGCCACACCGAAATGTGGCTTTAGGGTTTAGGAGGTTTAGGTTTTGTAGGATTTGGGGGTTTAGGATTTAGGAGGTTTAGGGTTTTAGGGCTTCAGAAAAATTTGGTTTTAGGGTGTAGGAATTTGCATGATGATACGGCTAAACGAGGCCTACGACTCTGTAGGTATTTTGGGGTTTTCGAAGGTCTCAGTCTTGAGGGTTTACGGTTCAGGGGCTCGGGGTTTTGGGGCTTCGGGGTCTGGGACCTAGGCTCGTATTTTTTTGGGGTGGTTCAACGATTTTCTGGGTTATCAGGTTTACTTGTAGTCGCAGTGTCTGTGGATGCAACTAGCAGCCGAGCGCATGGAAAGCCTCGGAAACATGTCACGGTGTCATGCTGGATGGAGGTGATAGCAATAATCGACAGTTTCGCAGGCACATTGTTGCAATCGAACGCACCAACGCTAAACCCTGAAAAACCGCTGTAGTGATTTAGTAGTAGCCATAGGCACCGTCATAGTAACCTTTACAGTAAGCTCAAGGGCTTTAAACCACGAATAAAACCTATAGATCCCCTATATAGATACTTTCCAAAACCATCAGAACCCTTATTATCGTGAATCGTAACCCTTATAATGGAGGAATTATCATATAGCCTGAACAGCAATCCTAGACCCCTAAAAAGTCTTGAAGGAATCTGCAAGACCCTATAAAGCCTCAATCCTAAATGGCACAAACCCACTATAAACCCATACGCTATATAGAACAATACGTAAGCCCCTACAGGCCCACCCTTGAATAGTACCCTTTAAGAGCACCCTCTAAACCCATACCCTTGCGAGGAGGAGGCCTTCAGCCCCGGCTCCACCGCGCGAGGATTCCGACTGAGCCTCTTTGTGTTTTCCGAAGATGGCGCGGTTTTGTAGGGTTTGGGGCTTAGGGGGTTTAGGGGCTTTAGGGGGTTTGGGGCAGATCTCTGGTTTCGGGTGTAGGGGGTTGGGGCTATAATTATTAGCATCCACCACCACCACCACCACTACGACCTACGACCACCACGACGACAGAGCATGACGGGACCGTCCTCCGCTTGAAGCCAGTTTCACCCACGGTGTCACAGAGGTGCGGAAGCAAGCTGTAAACCCTGAAGCCTAGACCCACAGTAATGATTGCTATGTCCCCCCAGGAAAAAGAGAGCCAGCTTGGGGAAAAGTTATATATGTTTTAGCTGAATCTGTGCTGAGTGCCGGGAAAGGTGGGCTTCGTTACAACGACTCTCGATTCAAGTGCTGGTCGCAGAAAAAGGTCATCTCTGCCACGTGCGCCCAGATTACCCCAAGCAGCTTGTGCCCCCTCCTCCCGCCGGCCACCGCAGATTTTGCAGCTGTATTTGATCGGTCATGTTTCAGGGTTTAGGGTTTGGGGTGTGGGGGTGTAGGGTTTGGCATTTAGAGGTCATGATAAACATGGTACTCCCGTCACCCGAGGGAAGTATGTAGTCGTGTAGCCTCGGAGCGGCAGCGGCAGTAGCAGTCGGAGGAGCCGTAGAATCCACACGCCGCGACTTAAGAAACCCCATTAGCACTAAAGCCTTGAAGCCCTAAGCCTGAAATCCTTCACCCCGAAGCACTTAATTAACCCTAAAGAACTTCTAAAATCTCATGCACGCAAGCAAAGTTGTCTAAATTCTAGATGCCAGGAGGTGCTCCACAGCGAGCTCTTAGAAGACAGCGCGCTCTTCAACCAGGCGATGGGCGTCTTCGGGCTAAGCCTCAAATTTGCCTCCATTGTATTTCCTTGGTCATCCTTGGTCTGATTCAAGCAATCTCAAACCTAGGATCCCATAACTTAACCCCAACCAGGAGCTACACTGGAGACTGCAGGAGGGTTAAAGTTCAAACAGGTAGAGTTTGCGGTCCAGGGTGAAGCATTCAAGGGAAGGGTACAAGGTTTTGCATCTAGGGTTGAGGGCGCACGTCTTCAGCGTTGCACCTTGTGTAACGCTTAATGCTTTAATGCCAGGGCCATACTGTAGAACGCAGCATGTAGCTAAGAAGAGCTCGAGGCTTTGCACAGCAAATCCTTGTTCCCTAAACCCAACAACCCAAGCCCGAAACCCTGAACCCAAAACCCCAAGCCCTAAACCCTTTAAGCTCAGCCTAAACTCCCAGACGGCTCCTAGGGGCCGCTTTCACCCCTAACTGGACAAGGAGGTTGGTGTGGGAATTGAGGGCGTAAGCCCCAAACCCGAACAGGAAATGGTTTCCGGTGGTTGCCTATCCCTATAAGGCTCCATGCACCCACATAGTAGGTACTTAGGCCTTAAAGTTACCATATAGGGACCCCTTTAAGGCCTAAGTACCTACTTAGGGCATGCTATCATCAGAGCGGGTGGGTGCAAAGAACTGCCGGCCTCACCGAGTCCTGTCGCAGATTGGTGGCCGCCGCCCGGGAAGACACCCTGAACCCTATTGACCCTTCAATTCCTGGAATCCCTGAACTTAAACTAAAAGCCTCTCAAGTCCTGGAAACCCTAAACTTAAACTAAAAAGCCAGACAAGTCCTGGAAACCCTAAACTTCAACCCTATGGACCCTTCAAGTCCTGAAAACCCTCCGCTTAAACCCTATACCTTTCAAGTCCTGGAAACCGGCAATAACTTGACGTTCTTCTGGTTGGCTTTAGGACTTTAACTTTTTGGGGATTCTATATGAACCATAATGAGGAGACTAACAGTTTAACTTTTAGGAGGGGTTCAGAAGTCAGCCAAGATAAGACGAGGCACTGGCCTCCTGTTGGCGGGGCCACTGGCAGCTGGCTCAGGCGCTTCTCTCAAGGACCGGATCAAAGTTCGGGTTTAGGACTTAACTTATAGGATTGTAGGACTCAAAGGGCTTGTAGCGTTTAGAGTTTCTGAGACCCAAGAACTTAGGACTTAAAGGGAGTCTATGGGCTCAGGACCCAGGATTTAGAGGACTTCGAGGGTTTCAATCTTATCTGAAAGGGCGTCGGATGGATCGGACTTACAGGGTTTCGGATTTATAGGGCTTAAAGGGTTTAGGATCTATTCAGGGTTTAGGGCTATTTGGGGCATAGGGCTCAAAGGGTTTGGGGTAAAGGGTGTTTCAAGATATGTGCCAGGGGTCTACTTATGGTCGCATTTACTACGGTTTGGGTTTCAGAAGGGGGGGGCGGGTAGTGTTTGCTTATAGTATGGCAGCGGTAAATGAGGAACTGAATCTTCATAGTATTGTATCGGTATTCTTAGTAAGAAGTAGAAATCAGGAACCAGACCATTATGAGTTTATGAACCATACTAGAAACTAGTCCTAAGAAGCAGAAGGAGAACAGACCTGTCTGCATTCACGTCTGCATGTATACGCATGCGCATATTCATCTGGTGCTGGTGGAAGAAGCCTGCAACACAGCACTATGAAGCAAGCCACAGCATAACTGCTCATGTTGCCGGGCTGACTTGTAGAGAACACGATGCACCCTTGCGCATGGCAAGACCGCACTCGAGCATGTTGCCGTGCACTCTAGAGTCGGGTTTAAAGTTTAGAGTTTAGGGTCGGGTGATACGGGCGTTTGTAAGTATCTTCCAACATAGACCCTCAAGAGCAAGATCCTGCTTACACCCGGACGAATGTAATACAGTGTAAAAGTGTACCAGTTGTATTGCCAGTGACAAGACTCATAATCACCATAACTCGCAGTAACAACCGTTACACTAGTAGCATCAAGAAGAACAACAGCTATTAATTGTAGCCATACATGGATCCCTGTGAAAGAGTTCTCCGGAGCGGAGACCTGCTTCAGCCTCATACTCGCCTGCAGACCTTTCACGGATTGGGGTCGTTCTACATGGTAGGTTCCGAAAATTAGGGATACCTCATTTTGGGGTCCTTAAAATAAGGATCCTACTATTTAAGGTACTATATTAGGGTCCCCTATTTTCGGAAACACCCCCATGGCAGTCGGCTGCTTGCGCCAAATTCCATACTTCATACTTGAAGATGCCCAAGAGTGCGCCACAGCAAACCAGACAGGAGTTGGAGAAGTGGTTCAATTCTCAGGTTGTGTCAGGTGTGGAGTATTCAAGGACATGACGACGAGCTTTCTGCAGTGACAGCCATGAAGCAAACTCTAGGGAATACCAGCAATCATCTTTTGCCCAGCATCCAACTTGTCGGGTTTTACTGCACCCCTTCCGAACTCCGAACCCTACACCCGAAGCCCTAAACTCCACATTTTCGGCCCCAAACTATCTTCACACCACTAACAGATGGGTCTTTATAAATGAGCAGGTTTTGGGTGGTGTACTGAAGCATGCTGCTGTGGGGACTATAGCGAGTGGATATCGTCATTGGGAGTTCCTCCATCCATTCTTCCGACCCAGTACCCTCAACCCTATGCGAAGCAGACTGGAGGATGGACAGCCACGCGCTGCCTCGCACCGTGGTCTCCTTTGAAAAGGCCCAGATCGACAGTGAAGCCTATAAGAGATTTTGTAGGGTTGCAGTTCAACTGAACCTCGAGCTCTAAGCTTTAATCACAAAGGGGTTAGTATGTCTTTTCATGAGGCAAGGGCTGCCAGATGAAGTGGGTGCCACATATCTTTGTTTTCGAATTAGGGCTTTATTTGAGCTTTTGAGTTATGTTCCCATGCCTGTGCCCTACCTGACCGAAGCCTTCTTGGAGACGCTGGGTACAGAAAGATCTCTGCTCACAAAGTTTGATAAAGCAGCCAAGCAATGAGCGCAACCATTTGGGGTCCTTGTTACAAACACAGGCATAATATGCATCAAAACCCTTTTCCATGATTCAGGCCCCTACATATATGAGGCTTGATCGCATGCACGGTACACCAACACTCCAGGCCAGGAGCTGCAACATACAAGGCACCCTGGTCAAGACTCTACACAGGCCTCGGTTGTACAGGCACTAGAACGAGAAAGTAAAGGGGGCAAAGAAGCTCCAAATAGGCTTAAACCCAGAGGCCTTAACCCTATTATTGTCCAAATCCGAGCTTCTGAGCCGCGGAGCCCTATCCCGTAAGCACCCAAACACCTAAACCCTTAGACCCTAATCCCTAAACCTTAATTTCATTTCAGTCAGTGGCGCCTTCAAACCCTAAATCTCTCCGAAACCATCAGGACCCTAAACCCCAAGCCCTGAAGACTGAACCCTATGCCCTGAAGACCCTTAAACCCTTATACCCTTAAACCCTTATACCCTTATACCCTTAAACCCTAAGCCCTAAAGTCCTTAAGCCCCTAAACCCTCTGAAGACCCTCATCCTAAACCCTAAAGTCCCTAAGCCCTAAAGTCCCTAAACCCTAAACCCTCTGAGGAGCCGAAAGGTTTTTGTTCCCAGCACTGGCGAGGCTACGGCTGCTTGCAGCAGAGCTGGTCGTTGGCAGGAGGTCGGACTCCCGGGGGTTGAGGGGTCCTTCAAGGGATCCTTAAAGGGCTCCTTAAAGGGAATCTATAAGGGTTTAGGGGGTTTGGGGTTTCGAGGTTTAGGGTTTAGAGGTTTAAAAGATTTGGGATGTAGGGCTTATGGCCTAAAGCATTCAGGCCTTTTTGGAGTTAATGGGGGTTCGCCAGGGGTTTTGAAGGCTGTTGAGGCTGCAACATCGCTTGATTAGATCACATGTTAGTGTTCCTCCAAGTTGCAGGCTAGACAACGACGGGATTTAGGCTTCACGGTTCTGATACGGTTCTGGGTTTAGGAATATGGTGGTAAGTTTCAGAAAGTCAGGAACCCTAGCGCTTGCTGTAAGGACCGAACCTGATGCTGGAAGCAAACACGGAGCCCTCCGGGACTTCTGGGTTGCGGAGTCGCGAGGGCATCATTGAGTTTAGGCCTAATATATGGGTCTGAATAAA